AATTGTGCTTTTAAAATGAGATAATGATCAATCAATACATATTATGACGGAAGAGACCTCATTTAATGTCAAAATTTCGAAATTCAGAAGGTATTCTTCTTAAACATGGTTTTAAATCGAAAGTTATGTGTCCAATGATTTAACCACAAATATTTCTTTATCTACAAAGTCTGATCGTTGATAATATGAGACCAATTCTGAAAATCTATGTTAACCATTTTTCGAGCATATGACACGTTGAAATCGTTGAGCTTCTTTAAAACCAATGATAGTCGAGCTTCGTCGTATTTTTTACATATTAAAAAGCTAATAAAAATATGTTTGTTTTTTATTTGTTCTTTTTTTTTTTCCTTTTTAACTTGCGCATTTCTTCTTTCTCCTTCATACACTTATTAAATTTGTCAACGAAGTTACTCATATATTTATTGTATACTATTTTACGTTAGAGAAACGCGATTAATATGTAAGAACAAAACATGAAGCAAAAAAAAATACATTTCCATTATATACACAAAGTGTATACATTCTCTCTCTCTCTCTCTCTCTCTCTCTCTGTATATATATATATATATACATAATTAGGACTCGAAAGATAGAGTTGCCATTGTCTATAGATTGTTTCTCGTGTATAGGAAGTAAACGAACAAAACTTCCTTCTTCGAACTTCTATTTCAGATTATTGCAAATTTTTATCACAATTTATATGCACACACACACACACACACAACATCGTAGATTTTGAACTATTCTAATGATCATCTAGCTATTAGAAAGAAAACATTTGTTTTTTTTTTCTTTTCTTTGACAAAATTTGCTCTAAAATAATAAACATTTTATTCTACTAAGAACTAACAATTGCAACAAGGTAGAATGTTATTAAGAAGAAGGGGAAAAAAGAGAAGAAAATTGAAAGAAGAAGCGACAAAAATCAAACTGTTGATCTGAATGACAAGAAGATGAAGAAGAAGAAGAAAAAAAAAATAGTTCAATTTATAATAGCCAGCAGTAATAAGAAATCAAATTATTTATTCAGATTTCTATACGGTAGACTAAAACGTTAAGTGATGCTCGATAAGTGTTAATGAATACTATTAATAAAAAAAAAAAGCAAAGAATAGTTTTATTTGATATCGATTTTATTTTTATTTGGTTTTAATTAAGAGAAAAAAGAAAACAAAAAAAACAAAAACAAAATAAAAAACTTCTCTTTTTCTTTCTAATATATTAGAAGAAGAAGAAGAAGAAATAAAAGAGTTAACATGCCCCATGGCAATTAGATACAAGAGACAATTCATTTTATACAACAATAACTCTATTCTATCGATAACATTAGGTAAATGTTGTCATTACTAATTATATACCATTAGAACAAGCTGTTAACCTTTAAAAAACCATAACACAAAACTATATTCAAATATGACCATTAGTTCCATATGTTTCAGTCATTTTGTAATAATTTGTTTTAACATTCTTTTTGTATTTTAATTTATCAGAATGACTAGTAATTGTGTGTATGTTTAAAAGGACAATATCCAGACTTCATCATCTTTTTTTTTTTAAGAAAACGAAAAATAACAAATGGTCAAAAAAAAATCAATGATTCCTCTCTTAGAAATCAAATGTATCGTTCTCATGTTTATATTATATGAAAAATGAGAAATGAGGGTTAAAAATTTTGTCAAACAGAGTCTCGATTTTAATTATTGTTAGAGATGAAATTTTACAATTATAATTTTAAATATTAGTATATGAACAAACGAAGGTTAACACAACGAGCTAAATATAGTTGTTACAAATTTAGATAAATAAAAATTTGAGTGTATTTAACTAAATAAATATAAATTTATAGCACAACAAGCAATATAATAAACATGACTATTGACACTGTCAAGATTTAATTAATAGTAAATAGAAAAAAAAATAAATGGGATAAAATTTATTCACTTAATTCAGCTCATCTCATTTTATTGACAAAGATTTGAAATTGAAATCATTGAATATGTTCATTATCCAAAAAAATAAAGTGACCGACCTACTTGTTTTGAGTAGAAGAAATTGTTGAAGTTATGGTCAATGGTATTGATGTAGAAAACATAATTTATTTCTTAATGATACAAATTTTTATAAAAAAAAAAAAACATAACAACTTCAACCTTTATATATTTTCATTTTGTACAGAAAATTAGTTCAATTTTTTTATTTCTTAATTTGAGAAAGAAAAGAAGAAAAAAATGAATGTTTTCTCCTTTATCCCGTCAAACAAAGTCATCATCTTCTGTTCATGTTAGTGAATGAGTAGTGGGATTATCGATTATAATTTTGCTGATTGAACGAAAAAGAACAAAAACGACATTGTCTTTTTCTTCTTGTTTTTTTTTTTTCCTTCTTATTAATACTTGAGAGACTTACTCTGCGTGATCATATTTACAGTTAATATATCCCTTTAGAATAAGATCTATACGTGTTTGTTAAACCTGTTATAGATTTGCAATTACCTTTTCCGGTTTTTGCAGACTGCTCATTTATTCTAATTGCTACAGATTAAATAAATCAAAAAAAAAAAAGAAGAAGAATAAGAAGAAAGTAGAAAAAAAGGACAACAATAAAACAAATGTTCAAAAAAAGAAGAATGAAAATAATTGATATTTCATATGAGTCATTTGACAATTATAATTATGTTTTAAGACTGTTTTACAAAATATCATGTCAATCAATTTTTTATTTACCATCTCAACAATGTTACTTATTGAACAGAAAAGAAAATGTCTATTATTATAGATTTATTTAAAGTACTATTTGAAATATAGAACATATAACATATCATCAAATTGAAATAAGAATATTTTCTATTTGTCTTAAATTTGCCGTAAAATAGTAGTGTGAAAACACGTACGGGTAAGAAATACCTTGAATTTCTTTTCTTTTATTGTCTAATTGTGTTTTCTTCTTGAATTCGAAGAGTTTGTACGGTTGATTACTCAAACATCTACTTTTTTCACTTTTTTTTTCTCCTGTTTTTCGCGGTAAAAAGACTATAATTTTCTCAATAGACAATTTTTTATCTATCTAATTTAATAAATTTTTATTTTTTTTCACTTTTTATTGAATATAAATAAATGTTTCATTACCGAGAAATTTTATTTTTCTTCTTAAAATAGAGTCTGAAAAGCAAAAAAACAAGAAAAAAACATCTATTTCTTATTACTTGATAACGAAGTCTATTTGGAACAAAAAAAATAAAACCAAGAAAGTTCTTTTCTAATCTACTTCTTTGACAACGAGAAATTGGAGTATATTATTTTCAAAACACACAAAAAAAAGAAGTTTTCCCCAAGATTTATACAGAAAATTTTAACTAAATTTAAAATAGTCTTCAAATAAAAGACAATCTTTTAATTTTGTCAATCATTTTATGAACTCACTATGAGAGATTCTTCTCATTTGTATAACCATTTATTAACGTAAACAAAAGTTTATCTGTATCTAATAATATCCTACAGGCAATTTTCTTTTTTTCTAATAAATTCATCGACGATTCTCGAGTAGAGTATTACTGTTACACTTGAAAACATAAATCAATAATTGTTTAAGTTATGAATATGAGTTCCACTTCATCTCTTCAAAAAAATAAAATATTGATTTTACTCGATTTGAGTATATCTCTGTATGCGTATGTAAAGTATGTGTGTGTGTGTGTGTGTCCCTGTGTGTATGTATACGCCTCTTATTCTCTCTTGTCTACTGTATATTCCCTAATCATTGTCATATTTTTTTCTTGATTGATTAAAACGTTAATAACATTATTCTTCGAACAAACACTAAAAAAATTCTATAGAGAGAAGAAGAGAAGAAAAAAAAAAGGAAAAAAATTTTTTTCGTTTTCATTTATTCATTCACGAAGTTCAAACTCTCTATAAATGTTATTAATACTATTACTTTGTTTTCTTTCTTTTCTTTCTTCCTCTATTATTATTATTATTATTATTATTATTATTATTATTATTATTACTAGGATATAAAAAAAATAAGAATGACAAATTAAAACATGATTTATATTTGGTCATTCGTAACGACACAACATCCAGAACAAATTCATTATAAGACAATAAATAAAGAAAATCGACAAGACATTTTCTTTTTCTTAATGCGCTTTTCGAATGAAAATAGAGAAAAAATTTGTTGTATCATCTTTACGAGAGTCTATAGATATAGCTCTTCATATATTAATCAATAAAATAATTAATATTTTCGAACAAGAACAGATTCTTTGATTAAAATCTTGTATTAAATTTAAAAAAAACATAACAGCAACAACAGGTATAGATAACGCAAAATATGCTAACAATCAAATGTTATGTCACATATTTTAAGTAATCAATAATTTTTTTATCTATTGTTGACAAGAACTCTACAATGGCAAAATGGCATACTATTGAGACGTATTAACTAGCGGTCTGCACAGGCACGGGACTTGCTGTCTGCGTGCATAGACAGGCTCTTGTTCTCGTCGATGGACACAGGTTTTTAAAAACTTTTTGTATAACAAATAAATTCAAACTATGAATTGTTTATGAATGAAGCATAGGTAGCAAAAGATATGCCAATAAAAGAACATGATGTACAAACGAGAAAATTTTTTCGTTAAGATATGAAGAAAATATGTGGTTAAAATGTTTGTTTTTTTATCACACTACAGATTTTTTTATCCACGGGCAGACATCGGTTTTATCCGAAAAAATTCAAAGACGGGCACGGATAGAAAAATCTTGTCCGTGCAGATCTCTAGTATTAACACAATGATTTATACTTTATAATGATCTAAGTGTTTAGCAACAGCTAATCAATGTATTCTAATTTTTAATTTAACGTCATAAATGATAATGTATGCTCTTTAATATAAACAAATGAAACAATTGTGCAATGATTGGAGTCTTCAAACAACCTTTTACTATCTCTTTGTAATATTAATATTAAAAGTGTGAGAAAAATGATAAGGAATACTATAGTTTCTCAATCTTTTGTCTTATTTCATCTATTTCATAGGTATTCTAAAACTGAATAAAATAAAATTTCTCCTGTTCTAGAAAAATTAGTTTAAAAAACTTGTTTTTTTTTTGTTTACCTCGTCATCAATTCCTATGTTGTTAATTGAATCCATGCTTTGCGATAAACTTCTGCCAGCATCTCCATTAAGTCCATTATCATGTACTGTCAACGATGTTGTTACCATTCCATTATTGTTTTGTGTTGTTGTTAATGTGTTAAAGTCATTATTGTTGTTATTGTTTGATAACGGAGGTTTCATCAAATTAGTTGTGGAATGTAACGATGGTGATATCGTTGATGAAGAAGAACCTGTCGATGATGAAGGTGATGATGATGTAAATTTTGTATTTAAATGATTAACGAGTTTTACATGATGCTGTGGAAGATTATTGATATTTGATATAGGATGATGTGAACCGTTTGTTGATGATGATGAACTACTATAGATAAATTTATTATTATTTGTTGATGGTTGCGATTGAATTAAATATTGAGCAGCATTAGGTATTGTTGTTGTTGATGCCATATTCATATTGTAACGGATGATTAATTTTTTTTTTTCACTTATTTTTAATAAAAATAAAAGTTAAATCAGTTGAATATATTTATTATGTTGTACATATGTGAACATGGTTTGTATCTTTCTCTCTCTTGTATAAGTATTGATACATACACACTCACACATTAATATTGTTCTCTCTGCTACGCGGTCACGCACAAATTCTAACGATGGAACGAAAAGAAAAGAAAGAAGAAAAGGTTTATATGTGTGTGTCTGTATCTGTGTCTTCGGAAAGAATTCAAAAAACTATAATAAGGTACATACTTTTTTCCTTCTTCTCTTTTATTTAGGTGCAATATTACAATGCAGCAGATTCTATCTTTTATTTCTATTCTATTCTATATAGCGGCTATATCTCTCTGCAAACTGTTTCAAATAAAAAAAAAATGTTTTATGGCTTCGGTGTGTTCTCTCTATGAATGTGTTGACGAAATAGTAATTTTTTGACAAGTAAATTGTGTCTCTCTTTTCTCTCTCGCTCTCTCTTTCTCTTTCTCTCTCTTATTCTTTCTACGTGTTTGTTCGTTTCTGACAACCAGGAAAAAGAGAGAAAAAAAGAAATTTTTTTATATATGTAACGTTTACTTTTGTCAGAATAATAATAACAAATTCATTTTCATAATTGGTTCGTCTTTGATCGATTTTTTTATTTTAATATTTGACTGCTAACAATGTTGATCTTTAAAAAAAAGTAATAATTATGACAAAGCAATGTGACTGTGCGTTGTTGAAGGTCGCGAGTCCATTTTTTAGATTCGACTATAGATCGATAAAATTAAACTTACACATAAACAAGTATAGGGAGGGAGAAAGACGCCTTGTTAAAAAAACGTTCATATTAACATTGATAGGTGGAAAGGTAATATTATTCTTTACTTCAAATGACAACAGAAGAACATCCTTCTTCTGTCTCCCGAAAGACAAAAAAGAAGGAAATGTTCTCATGCTAGACATATTTTTTATAAAAATTCAGCTTGTTTATTAAAGAAAGATTATTTCCTCTTCTTCTAATATTTTTTTCTTCTTCTTGAAAGTATACCTCGTATATGCTTGATGACAACTTCAGTAAAATGTAAGAGCGAAAAAATTTCACTTGACTGTTGTAAATAATTTGACAAAAAGTTTACTCTATTCTTTTCTATTCATTCATTTCCAAAAGAAAACTTCCACTACAATTTTTTAATTCTTAAAAGAGACAGCGTTATCCTCTAGACAAGTATGTTTTGAACATGCTCACTATGTTCTGAAACGAAAAAAACAGTTAAATAATTTGAAGCAAGAATATTTTTGTCTGTGACATTTTGAATAAATAAAATAGATAACATTTGTATTTATAGTGACTATGGCTTTGAATGAATCTTTCTTCTCACTAACCGTAGAATATTCGTTTACGATTTAGAGAACAGTTATGACAATGAATTGATCATTAAAGAGAATGTTTTTTAAAGAAATTTGATAATTAAGCTAAGAATCCTTATCATTTTAATTTATTTTTCCTTGTGAAACAAAAAAAGTAAAAACAGAAAATGCCATTTTAATCTATTCATTTACATACAGAGAACGAGAGAAACGAACGGATGATTTATCTTTACTGGACGTATACTGTTTATTCATCATCGTTGTTTGATACCTCGCGGTGGACGAAATTGAGCCATACTAAAAAAGTCCAAAACATCATTATTGTTGTTATTGAATCAATATACTTTGTTATCTGATGATTGATGATGACTTTGTTATCTAACTATAAGAAAACTTTGACTAAGTTTTATCACAATATCTTTGAACGCCCTTCAGACAGCCTAACAGTGAAATAGTTTTCTTATTCGTTCGAAATAGATGTTGTCGCATTAATAATAAGAGATTCTTTAACAATTTATTTAAGAACTACTCCAGTGTTCGCCGCCTTTTGTCGTTCTAAATTGATTTTCTGTTTTTCAAGGTGAAAATGCTCCCTCTTCAAGCCTTTTCTCGCACAAAAAGCAGTAACTATAGAACCGGAACTGGTCCGAATCTATTGCTTTCACCGTTTTAATTATCATGCGCATCATTTTTAGAAATCATCTGGCGTTCAACTCCAGTTACAGAAATATATGCGATAGCAAACGTACTTTAGGCAACGAGATTTCACAAGAATCTTCAAGAATCAGGGAATCAGGTCATTTTATAAGAAAGCTCTTATAAATTTCAAAAAAGGTTTTATTCATCGGCTTTTACAGATTCTTGTAAAATTTTGTCTTACGATATCGTTACATCATACAAGATTTCGCAAGATGCTCGAAGATCTTGTATAGAGATGTGCGGGGCGCCTTATTTCCATTCAGATCCGTCCATCATTACATGACATCAAAGCCGTAAAAATGTCGATACTCTTCTCGTGTAAGTCATAGAAAATTACATAAAAGCCTCCAACTAATTGTGCAAAAATCATATTCTATATGCCTTTTTAGGAATGTCAAGTTTTGATCTCTCTTACAATGAAGAAACGTTGACGTTATTTTTCCCAGCGTCTGAAGAGCTTACACCACTGTCTGACATACTACGCAAAAGATCATCTCGAGTAGTACAAATACTGATATTAAAAACTTCTTCTACTACTTTTGCAAGAGTAGGTCAGCTACCACAAAATGGTCGAAAATGAGAAAACGACATTCAGTATTTTATCTCTTCTGCTTGGTTTCCGATTAACGGAGGGGCGGGGCCCAATGTGCATCCAGGCAAACATTAGCTGAAAAAATGAACGTCGACTTTTCATCGATCCAAATAGTGCCAGGTATATTTCAAGACATACTCTATATGACATATCTGATGGCATAAGAAAATTTGTTACTAAACTTAACTAGTGTGGAAAAATCGCTATGAAAAATTACCGATAAAACACTGCTATCTCTGAGAAAATTAATTTTTCACAAAAGTGAACAACGTCATAGACAAACACAATAAGTATTCTGGATCTGCACACCGTCCGGTATCTATCTGTGAAAATATTTCTTAATTTGGACTTATGATCTTCGAGGAAAAAAATAAAAGTTTTTTCTAAGTGATTTTCCCAACGGCTATGTTTAGTAAAGTAAGTGTGCGAAAGTTAGCGAGGGCCCAAATTCTACAAAACTTTGTCAAAATGTTCTTCTACCTACCCTTTACTATAAGAGTTAGCGCAAATTAGCACAAACATTCCTGGACCGCACAGTGGCTTTTCCAAAAACCTTGGTTTTTCCGGTATTTTTCCATCTTCTCGGCTAAGGAGCACTTTTATTCTAAAATAAGGTCATATTTGAAATCAGTGCACTAAACTGCATTGAGTAATGTATAAAATATCTAATTTTAGAGCAAAAAACTTTTCAATGAAATTTTTGGACAAAGTTTGTGCCAGAATGCTTTTTTTCGGCCAGTTTTTCGAATTTGTTTATTTTTGAATACTATGAGTTTCTGGGTATTCGAAAGTCATTTTTAAGCGAAAAGAGACGAGTCCCAACAATCAAAATTACATGTCTGCCTGCTCTGAACAAAAATGCACACTGTGGGAGCGGGGGCTGTCCTCTCCAAAAAAAAATGTTCGGACTTTCTGCAAAATCTGTGACATTTTTCCAGCAGCAACTTTCTGCCAACTTTTTTACCTAAGCCACTGTCTGCAAAGCAAAATGTTTAGCCTCGCCGATTCGTAAGAACAACCGGATACTCTGCTCTTTTGAACGCAAAAGAAAAGGAAAAGTTCTTTCATTATAGATGAAACTGAAGCTGAAGAAGTACCTAATCTGATGGAAAAAGAATTAACTCAATATCTATCTTTCTCTCTGACTACGAAGCCCTTCTTGGAGGGCCGTTTTTTGAGAATAGCCAACTTTCAGGTCCCTTAGTACAAAAAGCTTCCGACCGAAATTTTTCATTTTACTCTCATTTGTAGTACTCAGCGAGCCCTACAAAATGGAGGTAAAGGTTTTTTTGGACCACTTCGTTTTCATCCTGATTTACCTATCACAAAAGTAAAAAATATAGATTACTTAATTCATGTTTTCGCGTACTTTTCACTCTGTTCTTAAACTTCAGTCGAGGTGGAATAGCTGTTAATTGGCAATCCATTTTATTTTTAGCTAAACTAAAAGAAAATTACTTCAAAATAGAGAAAAACTGGTTATGAAACGCTATTTGCTCACGATTTTATTGGTCTACTTTTGTCCGATGAGAATCCGCACATTCGATGCGAGAAAAGTATCGCTGACATTAGCGAGGAACTAGCCTCCTTCGTCGGACATAACCATTTCGTATTAGTTTAGCTAAAAATAAGATGGATTGCCAATTAACAGCTATTCCACCTCGACTGAAGTTTAAGAACAGAGTGAAAAGTACGCGAAAACATGAATTAAGTAATCTATATTTTTTACTTTTGTGATAGGTAAAT